CCACAGCCCCTGCACCCCACCGCCCCACTTCTCTTCCCACAGTGGAGAAGTGGCAGGCTCTCTACACCATCCTGGAGGCTTTTGGCAATAGCAGCACCAGCATGAACGGCAACGCCACCCGCTTCTCCCAGATCATCTCTCTGGACTTCGACCAGGCTGGGCAGGTGGCATCTGCCTCTGTACAGGTGAGGGGGCCAGGGTGGCTCCCTCCTGACATGGGAGCCAGTCCATCCTCACCGTAGTGGCCCCCCCTGACATGGGAGCCGGTCCATCCTCACTGGGGTGTTTCCCTGCACATTAGCCCGGGAGCTCGGCCACAGACCCCCGTCGGCTGCCTGGCTGTGCTTGCAGCGCTTAGCAGCCAGGCATCCTCTCATCTTTGTTCACACCCAGATGTGCACAGATCAGATTGACTGCCCCTCCTTGCTGAGTTAGGCCTGATGTCGGTGTATTTTTCCTCCAGACACCACCCCGGTGTGATAACAGCAGAGCCCTTAAAACACAAGAGGCGCTTTGCGCTCCTGTAGTAGCAGACACCCCGGGAGAGGAGATGCTCCTGGGTTTTTTGCATGACATTTGCATTTATACGATGCCCTGCCATGGGTGGGAGACCCTCACGTCTCCATGGGGACCCTGGACAGGCAGCAAGAATGAGGCTTGGGGGGATTCTTGGTGGGAGTCAGGCCCTGGGGGACATTTTCCAACCCTCCCACCTCCACCAGACGCTGCTGCTGGAGAAGCTGCGCGTCGCCAAGCGCCCAGCCAACGAGGCCACCTTCAACATCTTCTACTACCTGCTGGCCTGCTCCGACAGCGCCCTGCGGTGAGCTGGGGGGACAAGGGCACGGCCCCTGGCCTGAGGGGTCTCTGGCGAGTCCCACGTGGGGCCAATCTCGGTGTTTATCCCTGCAGGACTGAACTTCACTTCAACCACCTGGCAGAGAACAACATCTTTGGCATCACACCCCTCTCCAAGGTCGCTGCTATGGGGCTGGGTGGGGGGCTGTGGGGGGGCCCATTTGGGTGCAGGGAGAGGCAGAGCCAGGCTCCCACACCGATGGATCCTGTTGCTCTCCGCAGCCAGAGGAAAAGCAGAAGGCAACTCAGCAATTCAACAAGCTCCAGGCTGCCATGAAGGTGATGGGCATCTCCAGCGATGAGCAGAAAGCCTTCTGGCTCATCCTGGGGGCCATTTATCATCTGGGGGCCGCTGGGGCCACGAAAGGTAATGAGCTGCTCAGGGCTGGGAGGCATTAATGAGCCGAGGGTCTCAGGGCTGATCACCAGCACCTTGCAAATGGCCCCCTGGTGTGGCTGAGCCCTGGGGGGGGGGTGTCTTTGGGGCTGTGTTGGCTGAGGGACAGTGCCCTGCTTTTGCCCCCTTGGTTGGTGGTCCCACTGGTTGGGGTGGTCCAACTGGGAATTGAACACCCCCAGACCCTGGGCTCGCCCCTGCCAACTTGGGGGACCAGGGGCCTGTCTGGGGCTGAGGGAGTTGGGGGGTACCTTTGTTCTCCATCCCCAGTGTAACACCTCTCCCCCCTGTCCTCCCCGCAGAGCCGCTGGCAGACGGAGCCGGTAATCGGAGCCGCGGGGGGCTCTGCTCCGGGTGGTGCCGCGCGGTGCTGGTTTTAGGGCTGAAATGGGGGCTTGGGATGCTGCTGGTGTGCCGGGACCAACCCTGACCCCTGGCTGGGTCCTGGCAGCCCCAAATTTGCCTGCTGTCCATCAGGAGCCCACCACCCAGTCCTCTTGGCCCTGTGGGTGATGTGGAGCAGGGCTGCCCCGGCACCCAGAGCTCACCGTGGGCTGCAGGGTTTGCTCCGATGGGCACCTGCTTGGCTCTCCGTCCCTGGGGGTGGTGAATTCGGCTTCATGGGGCTGCTTTTCTCCTCGTGGGCCTTCTGCCTTCCCTCTGTGATGCTGGAAGCCCCCGTGGTGCTGCACGCTGAGGGGGGGGGGGGCCTGGGACAGCACACTGAAATGGGCACTTGGAACTGGCGGCTGCACCGAGGGAATTTTGCAGCCCTGAGGGAAAAAGATGAGTCGGGGATGAGGAGGGAGAGACTGGAGGGGTCTCGGGGGCGCATCGGGGTGCAGTGATGTCCCGTGGGGTGCTTCGTGGCACTAGAGGGCAGCAGGGCCCCGCTGCAGCCACAGCGGTGGGATGCTCTGTCGGCTCCAGAGCCGCTTTGTGGGGGCTTGCTGGGGGGGGGATCCCCAGATCCTGCTTGGGGGGGAGCATCCCTGCATCCTGCTTGGGGCGAGCATCCCAGCCCCAGCTCTGTGCTGCTCCTGGAACCTCCCCTGCATCTTGTGGACACTTGGGGATGCTCAGAGCCAGCTCGGCCGCACCAGCCCCCATTTTCTTGGCCCCTTGACCCTTGTACCAGGCTGGATCCAAGAGCAGCTCCCTGTGCTCTGGGACAGAGCTGAGCTGCACCCCACCAGTGCCCACGGCGCAGCTGGGGCTCGCAGGGGAAGGGTCCCCACGCCAGGTTGCAGCATCTCGCTGCAGCAATGCCTCAGGGTGGGGGGAGACCAGGCTTGGCATGTGCGTGGCGTGGCGGTGCCTGCGCGTGGCATGTTTCGGCAGGAGGGCGTCCCCGTGCCGCGTGTCCGCGCTGTCACGTGCTGTTGTTTCTAACCCCTGTCTCTGTTTGCATGGTGCATGCTGCCCTTTTGCAATGCAGACGCCGACGAAGGTAAAGTCTTGTTCTCTGCTAGTGTCTCTGGCTTCCCCCTCCCACGTGCCACCGCCTTCCCGCTGTCGCTGTCGTGTCCCTGAGTGTCACCATTAACCCTCTCCCACCTCCCCTGCCCTCACCCGGCATCCGTGTTTGTCCTGCAGCACCGCAGGGCTGCTCCGTGCTTGTGGCCGAGCAGGGACGTGTCCCCGTGCCAGGGTGGCTCAGAGCCCCGCACCGTCACAGGCCCCAGAGGTCCCCGGGCAGTGGTGGTGAGGGGTGACCCCCACCCCACATCGTGGCTCTGGGCTCAGCCCTGCAGAGGCACAAAGCTGTTCACACCCCATCTCCTCTCATCAGACCCCGAAACACACTTCCCAGCCCTCCAGCACCGGCCGTGTGCTCCCACTGCGCACAGCATCCCCAGCCTGCTCTGGGGGAACCCTGAGACTGTCCCAGGCCTGGCTGGAAGCGCCCCCCCATTGCGGGGGGATGCCCCAGCCAGCACTGAGCCCCTTTCTCCACCCTCCAGCCGGGAGGAAGCAGTTTGCACGGCACGAATGGGCTCAGAAAGCTGCCTACCTGCTGGGCTGCAGCCTGGAGGAGCTCTCCTCCTCCATCTTCAAGCACCAGCCCAAGGGCACCCTGCAGCGATCCACCTCCTTCCGGCAGGGCCCCGACGAGGCCCCCCTGGGCGACAGCGGCACAGGTAGGGTGAGGGATGGTGGGGACAGCGGGTGGCCCTGAGGGACACTGGGCTGGGGACACTCAGGGTTGCCTTGGCCAGGTCCCAAGCTGACGGCGCTGGAGTGTCTGGAGGGCATGGCGGCCGGCTTGTACTCCGAGCTCTTCACCCTCCTCATCTCCCTCCTCAACAGGTACATGCTGGGGGGCCAGGGAAAGAGCCGGGGGGGGGCCTGGCAGCACCTGCTCACCCCGCTGCGTGTCACCTCTCACCCTTTGTCCTCCACAGGGCTCTGAAGTCAAGCCAGCACTCGGTGTGCTCGGTGACAGTGGTGGACACCCCTGGGGCGCAAAACCCTGAACTGGCAGGGCAGAACCGGGGGGCCACCTTCGAGGAGCTCTGCCACAACTACGCCCAGGAGCGCCTGCAGCTCCTCTTCCACCAACGCACCTTCGCCCGTGAGCTGGAGCGTTACAAGGAGGTAACGGGGACGCCCCGGGCTGCCATCACCTCCTCTCCTGCCCTCCTCTCTCTGCGCAAACATCTCCTACCTGATCCCCCTGATATCTTGCCCCATGGCTGCTCTGGACCCGTCCATCCGAAGCAGCTCTGACACGGTGCTCGGTGCAGCAGCGGTTTCCCCAGGGCTCCCACCGCCGGCGATGCCTTTGCTGGCAGCTCCGGCCCCAGCCAGGCAGCCCTGCGGGCAGATGCGGGCAGGCTGGGAGGTGATGGGGTGGCTGGAGGGATCATTGCTGCTGCTCCATCTTGGCACCGACAGCCCAAGGGGATCCTTCTGTATGCCCTGGGCCCCCCTCAGCACCCAGCATTGCCCTGTGCCGGGGCGGTGGGACACCGGGAAAGCCCTGCCTCCTGCCTAGGCCCTTCTGAGACCAGCTGCTGGATCCCTGTCACTGCGTGGGCACTAACTGTGCCTCTGTCCCCCCTCACCAGGAGAACATAGAGCTTGCCCTGGCTGACGCTGAGCCCGGCTCCTCTGGCTCTGTAGCTGCTGTAGACCAGCCCTCGCACCAGGCCCTGGTAAGCACCCGCCACGCTTCCTCGTGGCTGCATCGTGGCAGTTTGTAGCGTGAGGCAGCAGCCGGGTGGCTTTCCTGGCCCTTTGGCTGTAATCAGGGGAAGAAGAGGGGCTGTCCTGAATGCTTAGCCATGGCTGTGAGCATTGCCTGGTATGGTGTCCCCTGCCACCCCAGGAGCTGCCTGTGCCATGAGGAGCTCTTGGGTGATCCCCATGGTGCTCCAGTCCTCGAGGTGCTCAGGTCCTCAGGGTGCACTGGTCCCCAAGGTTCTCCAGTCCCTGGGGTGCTCCAATCTCTGCTGGAGGAGGCTGAAGAGACCAAAGGGGGGCTGCTAGTGCCAGCCCTGTGCTGGGTTTCAGCCTGTGGGCACCTGAGCGCAGCATTTTCCACCCCAGTGTGAGCATCTCGCTGCCCGGAGTGTTACGTACTGACTTCTTCCCTGCTGGGTCTCCATTAAGCAGGGGCTCACTTGCGTGGTGCCGCTTTGCCTTGATGCTGACAGCGGTCGAGGTTGCATGCTCCCCGGCTCGCCCAGCTCCCCTGTGTCCTCCCATCCCTGCCTCGGGGGACACCGACGTGCTGGACCAGCTGCAAGCTCAGTGTCACCCGCAGGTCCGGTCGCTGGCCCGCACGGACGAGGCACGGGGGCTACTGTGGCTGCTGGAGGAGGAGGCACTGCAGCCGGGGGGCAACGAAGACACTTTACTGGAGCGGCTCTTCTCCTACTATGGCCCCCAGGAAGGGGGAAAGAAAGGTCAGGGGGATCCTGATACTGCAGGGCCTTGTGTTGGCGAAGTGCCAGTCCCGTGCCCATCGGTGCCGTGTCTCCTCACAGGGCACAACCCGCTGCTCCCCAGTGACAAACCCCGACACTTCCTCCTGGGACACAGCTCAGGGACCAACTGGGTGGAGTACGATGCCACGGGCTGGCTAAACCACGTCAAGCACAACCCGGCCTCCCAAAACGCCTCCGTCCTGCTCCAGGAGTCACAGAAGTGAGTGGGGTCCCAGGTCAGGGAGCACGGCTGGGGGGAGAGGTGATTTTAGGGAGTGACGTCCCATCCGTGCCCCCCCAGGAAGATCATCAGCAGCCTGTTTGCTGGCCGCGGTGGGTCGGCGCTGGTGCTGTCGGGCTCGGTGGCAGGGCTGGAGGGGGGCTCCCAGCTGGCCCTGCGCCGGGCCACCAGCATGCGCAAGACCTTCACTACCGGCGTGGCCGCCGTCAAGAAGAAGTCACTCTGCATCCAGATCAAGCTGCAAGTGGTGAGTGAGGGGGTGCCAAGGGGAGGTCCCCGGGTCTGTTTGAGGCACTGCTGCATGTCACAGAATCATCTCGGTTGGAAAAGACCTTGGAGGTCATCTAGCCCAACCATGAACCTCACACTGACCGTTCCCAACTCCCCCAGATCCCTCAGCGCTGGGTCAGCCCGACTCTTCAATCCCTCTAGGGATGGGGACTCCCCCCCTGCCCTGGGCAGCTTGAGGCCATTCCTTCTTGGCCTGTCACTTGTTCCTTGGCTCGAGAGACTCATCCCCCCTCTCTGCACCCTCCTGTCAGGGAGCTGCAGAGGGCCAGGAGGTCTCCCCTCAGCCTTCTTTTCTCCAGACTGAAGCCCCCCAGTTCCCTCAGCCACTCCCCATCAGACCTGTGCTCCAGACCCTGCCCCAGCTCCGTTGCCCTTCTCTGGTGTCACCTCTCACCCCTCTCTCCCGTACCTGCAGGATGCCCTCATTGACAGCATCAAGAAGTCCAAGCTTCACTTCGTGCACTGCTTCTTGCCCAAGGCAGCAGGGAGCAGTGGGGACCCCCGGGCTCTGCCGTGCCGGCGGGTGAGCGGCAGCGAGCTGGAGCTGCCGGCGGAGCACTGCGAGGCCGGGCTCATGCAGGTGGACGTGCCCCTCCTGCGCGCCCAGCTCCGCGGCTCCCGCCTGCTCGATGCCCTCCGCATGTACCGCCAAGGTGAGCTGTGTGCGGATGCCGGGGCTGTGGTGAGCATCCCGCTGCGGCGATGGGCACCGTGGAGTTCCTGGCTACGTCTCCTCCCTGGGGAGCCAAAGCCCCCCCTGGGGAACCCCTTTGGCACGTGCCTTTGCTCCAAGCCCCACGGCTGCCAGTCGTCCCCTCAGGGCGGTCCTGTCCTTGTCCCCCCCTCCCCTGCGAGGCCGTTATCTGCGCCAGGGACAGGCATGGCCTTAATTGGGTGTCTCCGCTGGTGCCGCCGGCTCCTGGCAGCTCTCCTGCTGGCAGCCAGCCCCTGTCCCGCTGGGGCGAGGGACTCCGGGTCATGCTCAGCAAAGCATTTATCGATACGCATGGCTGGTCACCCAGACGAGGTTTTATTGCCTGGAGGCTGGACCCTTCCTGCCGCCATCGGAAATCGATGTTGCCCGTACACCTCCTGGATCGATGGCCGCAGCCAGCTGGCTGTGCTGGGGTCAACATCCCCATCAATACCTCGTTGTTAATTAAGATGTGGAGGCTCAGCACTGTGAGCCTGATGCAGAAGTTGGCTGCGACTCAGAGTGGAGCCGGAGTGGGGCTTGTTTGCTTGCACAGGCAGCACACGTGTCCCTGCGTACCTCCTGAGGCAGGATCTGGCCACTTTCTCCCCAGATCTCAGCCAAAATTGCTGGAGGACACGGCCAAGAAAAACCTCCTGGGAAGGGTCAGGGTACTCCAGCCGTGCCTGGTCCCATGGGGAGCTTGTGCCATGCAGGGTGACCCCATCAGCTCTCCCACAGAATGGGCCCCAGGGAGTCAGGGCACACGGGGCTGTCCCCGGCCATCCCCGGGGTGTCCTGGCTGCCCCCACAGCCCCACTCTCCCTTGCTCCCCCCAGGGTACCCTGATCACATGGTGTTTGCGGAGTTCAGGCGGCGCTTTGACGTCCTGGCCCCACACCTGACCAAGAAACACGGGCGCAACTACATCGTGGTGGACGAGAAGCGAGTATGAGCCCTGTGCCAGGGCCAGCACCATGGTCCGGGCTCCCCTGCACCCCAAGGGTCCCCTGCACGCCAGGGTGCCACCAGCCTGGCCCTGACACCTCTCCCTTCCTGCAGGCGGTGGAGGAGCTCCTGGACTCACTGGACCTGGAGAAGAGCAGCTACCACATGGGTTTGAGCCGGGTAGGATCCCCACGCTGGCTGCGGCTGCTGACGGCATGGGCAGGGGTGGGCGGTGTGGCACGGCATGGCACGGCGTGGCGCGGCGGGGCAGCACAAGGGCAGCACTGTTTGCTCCCACCTACGGCATTCCTCGAGCTTGGGGAATAAAACCCCCACGATGGGACAGGACCAGTGGCTGCAGAGGGGAAAGCCGTGTCCCCACCAGCCTGGCCGGCGGGAGGGTGGCACGGCGTGGACGGAGGGATGCCGGCACCCGGCGGCATCTCACCCCTCTCCCCTCCCGCAGGTGTTTTTCCGAGCTGGGTCACTGGCCAGGCTGGAGGAGCAGCGGGACGCGCAGACCAGCAGGAATATCACCCTCTTCCAGGCAGCGTGTAGGGGCTTCCTGGCACGGCAGCAGTTCAAGAAGAGGAAGGTTCGTCCCAGCAGCTCTCCCCTCCCCGCTCTGCTGCACAATTTCGCCTAAAATGGGCAGCGCAGCCTTTCTGCCGCCGCCTGGGCCAGCGTCTCCTCCTCCCGCCTCCCCCC